GTACATCCCTCATCAAGACCATTTATTTACTACCAAATTTCAGGATCATTGGAGTCGTGGGTTGCCATTTTTAGCTCATGAGATGAAACTCTATAATTTATAATGTTTTGTTCAATTCAATGCCTCACCAGACATCTGTTCCCTTTGCATGTAAGAGAGATAAAGAAAGCGACAAAAGCCCTAAAGAAAGGTAAGACTCTTTGAACGAGAGAGAGATAAGGTTTCTCTTATCTCCTCATCAGATCTTTGTTCCTTCTTCCCTTTTTTGTTTTCTTTCTTTAGTTATGTTTTTTCTCGATTTAGACAAAAACCCTAGACTTGATCTTCCAAAGGGTGTCTTAAATAGAAGATCTCTTTCCTCTTTTTCATATATATATTCTTTCCTCTCTCTGGTTTCTTTGCCTTCTTTAGTTAAAACTCAGATCTAACCTTTATTTCTTCTTATTTTTTCACTGATCTCATGATTCTTGTTCTTTTTTCCATCTTGTAGATCTCTTAAGTTGGATGGGTTGTGAGTGAATGAGTTGGGACAAAAGAAAACACAAAGAAACTGACAGAAGAGAGTGAGCACACAAAGGCAATTTGCATATGTTTGTATCCGATCTCACTGCATTTGCTTCTCTTGCGTGCTCACTGCTCTTTCTGTCAGATTCCGGTGCTGATATCTTTGGCCTGTCCTTGTTTTCTTTTTCTCAATCTCTCTCTCATATACACAATCTCTCTCTCTCTAGCTCCCTCTTGTTCATCTCCAAATTAAGGTAAGAAGATACGATCTAAACGATAGCTTGTTCTTGTGTATAGTTTTGGTCCGATCTGCTTGCATGCGGGGTGAGAGCTTTAGACAAAAATCATTCATTATAGTTTAAGGTATGGGTAGTATCGAAAAAGCTTAATCTATGAGTTAACGCGTGGTGAAGTAAAATTAGCATAATAACCTAGTTTTTAATAGGTTGGTCCTTAATTTTCTCGATTCATGTATATATTATATCGTTTCTTTTTTTCCTTTTGTCTCTCTCGAGGCTTTTGAATCCCTAGTTACCTTGTATATAAACTCATATCATATATATATGATATCATGAGATCATATCATATCATCTTTTTTTTTCTTTCATATCATCTCATTTTGCGTGTATAAGGTTGTGGCTAGGCCTAGTTGTGGCAAGAGTACTTTGGTCATGATATTTGCATTATAAGAATGAGTCGTTGGTTTCTTGGGTTTTTAAATGGTCTGCTCGTACATTTTGATTCCGTGGGGTACATAATTAGCTTATTATTTAAAAAATTATGTTATATACTTAATATATGTTGGTGTATAATTAGTATACTGACATTTATATAAATAAATATTTGAATCGATGTAATAATGTTACAACTTTTATGAATCTTGTAAGAATATTCTTCTGGTGGTTTGCTTTCTTAGACTAATTTGAGAACATGTTCCTTTTTCATCTGTTTCTCAAAACACACATTCTGTATGAGTTTGTTGTATTGGTGGCACATGTTGATGCGTGTCATGCCTTTCCGCTTTTGTACTGTTAATGCTGTTGAAAAATATTGTTGTTTGTCGTCAAAATATCAATGCTAGTATTTAATTTTTGGTCATACTGTTACACATTTTTTTTGGGTAAGTGATGAGTCGTTGGCTAAATTCATGATGATGCCGGTGAGAATTCTTTTGTCTAATGCATAACCTCTAGGATTCAATCTTGGCATCTGTTGAAGTTGTGATGTTTGGATCTTAATTTTATACACAACTCTAGCTTAGATTAGTTAAGTCTAGTACCGATATATGTCAAGTATTATTGAATATAACTTAAAATGCACATTGTGAGTCTTGCGGATTCAATTCTCTGTCAAAATCCTTCTATGAAGTAAAGCCGTGAAGTCCAAACAGAAGAAACTACATCCCATGAATGTATAATTTTTCCAGTTACCTCCTAAATTTGGAAGACATGGAATGCTATTATAAATCACAGATTTCTAACTTGAGTTATTTTAGACTAGAGTACTTGTTGGTTCCCACTCTATTAATTCGTTGTGTATACATGTGCTCTCAAGAATTCAAACTTCTTTTCAAAAAAGTTTTTTAACTTTTTAATTTCCCATTAAATTTATTTGCAAATTGTATGGAACCATTCTTTTCTTTTTTGAGCCAATAATATAACGTTTTTAAATTAAAATACTAAAAGTGGTTTTGGAGCAAACAGTATGTACCGATCTTTTGGAGTTTGCTGTTTCATTTGAGACAAGTAGATGCGAACAACCGCAAAAGCAAGAAACAAAACTAAACAAAAGCATAACAGGAGTGAAGGCTTGGGGCATCCTTAGGCTCGATTGCATTCAATTCGGATGCCAAGCAAACCGTTAAACATGATCTAGTCGCAAACCGGTGCATTGAAACGTTGATCATTGTCATCTATGGACTGTATCAAACAGCACCAATTAGGGCAATGGCATCATCTGTTTTGTTTTTTCGCTCTCCACTTCATGTATATGTATTGGTTAGGCTCTAAATGCCATTTTTTGTGAGGTAAGGGCTGGTCTCAATTCGATCACGGGAGCAAGGCAAACCGTTATACATGGTCTAATAACAAACTGTTGCATCGAAAAGTTCACTGTCATCTATGAACTCTGTCAAACTGTTACTCTCTTTTTTTCCACTCTAGAATTCTGTTAGGCCTAAAACTATATGTTGTTAGTATTAATGGTGGGTCCAAAAATCTTGACTTAGTGCATCAGAAAGTTTCTTGGACTTCTTGTTATGTTCGTTAAAATCTGCTTTATGATACATCTTAGTCATGAACTCTAAACTCCATTTATCTATGTATTTAATATTTATATCAATTGAAATAATTGACTGGTTCTTGTTGACATAGACATAAAATCAATTGTGATCGCTGGAATAAAATAATATTTAAAATCTCTAATATTATATTTTGGTGTGCGGTATATCTGGTCTTCTTATGCACGGCTAAAACGGTGTGTGACACTGGCATAAACACATGTCCTAGCTGAAGAAATTTGTTTAATTATTTTATTTCACGGCAGCAATTTTTTTATTTTTTATTTACAGAAATCTATGGCAATCTTATAGCAAACAGTATTGATTATGAATTTCATATCGTAAGACCAAGTGCTAATTCATTTTTCCGTGACGGTATTTATTTTTGTACGTTGATTAAGCTTCCAGAAAAAAGTAATGAGTTACTTTGGTTGTCTTACTTTGTAAAATGTGATGAATCCATCAACACAAGAAATTAGCACCCAAAAAAGCGAGAGAGCGATTTGGTCTCTAGGTTCACCATTTAATTCACGTTTATGAGAAATTATCACCATCGGATAAAATCGCAAGTGGGAAAAGAGTCAAAGCTTTTATGCAAAAGTAAAAAGAAAATGAAACTCCACTATGAAAAGTAAAGAAATATTTAACAAAAACAAATAATATATATATATATAAAATAAAAGGTCAATAAAATTGTTTTAAAATATTTTCAGGGCCAAGTAGAAAAAAGGTCACATCTTGCCTTACCTAAAAAAGACATGTCATTGAAATTTTATCGGGACAAGTTAAGTTACTAGCTATATTTAATTAATGCGTATCCATTTCAAAACATGCGTAGCATTAACGGTGATTACACGTCAATTTCACGTCGTCCACTATTTTTGTATATAGTAGTATAGATTTCTGCAAGGTATTTCCTTCCTTCTTTTATTTTTTTGTTTGAAAAATTAAAAATATGTTCATGGTAGTAACAAAAAAAAAAACTATAAACTTAGGCATAGGAAAAAAAAAATCAGGACCGACCGAACCCGAACTACCCCAAATTAAAAGTTTGGTTTATTTTTGGTTAGCCAGTATGATCTAAATATTTTTTTTACAGAGGATCGAGAAACAAAATAAAAATAAAGAAAACAGATATTAGGTTTAAATCTAGCTAAAAATTGGTTTACATTTCAATATATCATGTTAGTGAATTTGGAAGGAGATGTTAGGAATGGGGTTCGTTGGAACTTCCAAGTTGGAAGAAGATCAAACGCTTCAAAAAGTTTATAATGTTAAATGAATGAGCATCTATATATTCCATATTTATAAATAGAAAAATAGAAATATAAGTTAGTTTCTAATAAATTTAGAAGTACTTGAATATTTTGAGAATCATTTGCCTCTTCGCTATTTAATATGAAAGACATTTTATAAGATATTAAATTAAAGTGTAATTGTGAAGCATTAGATGATTAGTTTTATAGTGCTTTATGTGAATGTGTCAAGATCAAATTTTTTTCTAACTACATTAGTAAATAATACTACAAAATTCTGTGCGAAATGGGGATCATCAACTAGTATACGGTATATAGTTAGAGGATTTTTTTGGTTTGTTACATAATTACTAGAAGATACTTATCTTATAACTTATTACAAATAATTATTTTATTGCTTACGATGAATTTTTCACACCATTTAGAAGTATGGCGAATGGTTCACTCGAAATAAAACATTTAAAGTAGTTTTATCTACATTATAAGAATTCAAAATAAATCTATACACCATTTACGATAGAATTTTCTCACTTTCAATAAATGGAACTAGTATGAATAATTCTAGTTAAACTATACTGAGTTTTTTTAATAATTTTTCCATTTAATTTATTTTTCAGGCACTTTTATAGCTAGATTGGAATTTGGATGAAACTGAATGACTGATTAAAGTTGAATTCAATTCTCCAATCTAATTTATTTTTGTTCATCCCTAATCCTATCTTATTTAATTTGCCAGATCTTATGTACATCACTTTGTTTAGATAAGACAGAACATTTCTATTCACTTCACTTAGTCGTTACACAATAAACAAATATTAACTTCACTAATACAAAAATAATAATATCCACGTATGACGTATCTGTTAATTTCGCTATTTATGTATATAACCATATACAAATTTTCACATAATGATCCTCACCAATATACTTGTAATCAAGTAGCGAGAGACCGAGTCCAGAGATAATGGAGGAATCGAAAACTGTCCTCTTCGACAAGTACGAGATCGGAAAACTTATCGGAACCGGTAACTTCGCCAAAGTATACCACGGAACCGAGATCGCCACCGGCGATGACGTGGCAATCAAGGTAATTAAAAAAGACCACGTGGCGAGACGTCGAGGCATGAATGAGCAAATCGAAAGAGAGATCTCCGTCATGCGTCTCCTCCGTCACCCAAACGTCGTCGAGCTCCGTGAAGTAATGGCCACAAAGAAGAAGATCTTCTTCGTCATGGAGTACGTCGACGGCGGAGAGCTCTTCGAGAGGCTAGACAGAGACGGAAAGCTCCCGGAGGATCTTGCACGGAAATATTTCCAGCAACTGATATCCGCCGTAGATTTTTGCCACAGCCGCGGCGTTTTCCACCGCGATATTAAGCCGGAGAATCTGTTACTCGACGGAGCCGGCGATCTGAAGGTGTCGGATTTTGGGCTTTCGGCTTTGATGATGCCGGAGCTGCTCGGCGGTCGACGTGGCAGCAGCGACGATCTTCTCCATACGCGGTGTGGAACGCCGGCTTATGTTGCGCCGGAGGTTCTTAGAAATAAAGGCTACGACGGAGCTACGGCGGATATTTGGTCGTGTGGCATCGTTTTGTATGCTCTCCTCGCTGGATTCTTGCCGTTTATCGACGAAAACGTCATGACCTTGTACACGTAAGTAGTGCTAAACTTGTTACTCTCAATTCTTGCAAATAACCGGTTATTGAACCTTGGTATTATTGAACCGGATTGTGAAATGATCACTCAATTCTCGCCAATAACCTGTTATTAAAACTTGGTATTGTTAAACCGGATTTATCAGTCAATTCTTGCCAATAACCGGTTATTAAAATTTGGTCTCGTTGAACCCGATTGTGAAATGATCACTTAATTCTTGCCAATAACCGGTTGTTAAAATTTGGTATTGTTGAACCGGATTGTGAATTGATCACTCAGTTCTTGCCTATAAGTAACCGGTTATTAAAACCTGGTATTGTTGGACCGGATTGTAAAATGATCACTCAATTCTTGCCAATAACCTGTCATTAAGACTTGGTATTGTTGAACCGGTGAAACGATCACTCAATTCTTGCCTATAACTGGTTATTAAAACTTGGTATTGTGCAATGATCACTCAATTCTTGCCAAAAACCGGTTATTAAAACTTGGTATTGTTGAACCGGATTGTGAAATGATCAACATTTCTGTGTAATCAATGAACAGAAAGATCTTCAAGGCGGAGATCGAATTCCCGCCATGGTTTTCGTCGGAATCAGAGGAAGTGATCTCAATGTTGCTCGTGGCAGATCCTGAACAACGGATTACAATGTCGGAGATCAAACGGATTCCATGGTTCCGGAAGAATTTCACACCGCCGGTAGCCTTTTCAATCGACGAGACAATCCCATCTCCGCCGGAGCCGCCGGCGAAAAAGAAGAAGAAACATCTCTTGAGCACGGAGGAAGAAGAAGACGACGGAGTTTCTCCAAGATCATTCAACGCATTCCAATTCATCTCATCAATGTCTTCAGGTTTCGACCTTTCCAGCTTATTCGAGATAAAACGGAAACCCAAAAGAATGTTCACTTCAAAGTTGCCGGCGATATCCGTCAAGGAGAGGCTAGAGACGGCGGCGCGTGAGATGAACATGAGGGTGAAACACGTTAAAGACTGCAAGATGAAGCTGCAGAGGAGAACGGAAGGTCGCAAAGGGAGACTATCGGTGACGGTTGAAGTTTTCGAAGTCGCTCCTGAAGTCTCCGTCGTCGAGTTCTGTAAATCCTCCGGCGATACTTTGGAGTATTACTTGTTTTGCGAGGATGACGTCAGGCCAGCTCTTAAAGACATTGTCTGGTCTTGGCAAGGTGATGATGATGAGGACGATGTTAACACTAATGATAATGTTAACGCAACTAATAATAATACTTCATGAACTGTAATATTTCAATTTTTTTTTTGGCATTGTATGCAAGAGCGAGATTGTCTATTGTGATAATATATATAATAATTTACATTATGAAAAAATATATAACATAACCATTATCGGTACAATGTATACAAACCATGACCGGTAACATTAAGATTCAAATACCGGTTAGTTTCTGTGTACTCTCATGAAGCAAAAGTTATTAAGCAGCAAGCAACTTCTTGATGTCTTTCTGCAAACAGTCCAAGAAACAAAAAAAACCAGGTTGGGTTACAAACCGGGAATCAAACCGATATGAGCTAAACCGGAAGTAGTCGTGTTAAACCGTACCTCGATTTGGAAAGGGGAAGTGGTGGGAGGGTACCTCTCAACGACTTTTCCCTTTTTATCAATCAAGAACTTCTCAAAGTTCCATTTGATGAGTCCACCCAAGAATCCTCCTGCGTTTGATTTCAAGAACTCGTAGATCGGAGCTGTACTCGGTCCATTCACATCGACCTGTGGAAATTCAAACTTTATTCCAATCTGCAAACCGAAAAAGAACATTGAATGTTTTGGATAATTTATACCTTATCAAATATAGGGAACTCTGCTTTAAACCGGGTGCAAGCGAATTGTTTGATCTCAGGGTTAGAACCGGGCTCTTGGCCACCAAATTGATTGCAGGGAAAAGCTAGAATCTCAAATCCTGTAAGCAGAACAACAACAACAACAACAAAGGTTTGTGATGTGTAACTACAAAGTCATTAAAAATTCTTTTAGCTACAAAGAACGAATGAGTTGAAATTATCATCAGTCCAACAAAGATACTGAATTTGCTAGCATTTCAAAAGTTTCAGAGCAATTTATTTCCATAAACTAAGGTGAGTGGCGAGTTAGTAGTAATGGCGTCAAGTAGCAACAATAAGACTGAAACTTATTGATACCGATAATGATATAAAGATCTACAACACAATGCAGTGAACAAGCAATGCAATGTACTTTTAGTCAGAAACAAACACTAAAATGTCCAAAAAGGCACTGAACATGTAAGAACCATCTACGAATATGAAAATGAACTCAACTAATAAGAAATTCGTAAACAAGAGACCATCTGGTACTGATTATAGCGAACAGATCAATGTGATATATTATCTTCACTACACTTATGAGAGAGCCAATGAAAACTCACCTTGGCTCTTGTATTTCTCGTACAGATGTGAGAGCTCTGAGTAATTTGATGATGTCAAGCCACTGCGTGTACATCAAAACAAAATCTTTGAAATCAGAAACCTCTACATGAACTAACAACAGAAGCGATTTCTAAATCACATCAAGAGGAGGAGAAGAAGAAGGTTACCATCTTGAAGCGACATTGACGATCAACATAACTTTCCCCTTAAACTTGTTCAAAGAAACATCATTCCCATCAATGTCCTGCCTCCAACAAAAAAACAGTAAAAATCTAATTATGTTTCAGATTTCAGATTTTACAAAGTATGTCTCCTACTGAAGTCACTAACCCAATTATAAATTCAGTAAGAATACGAATCGTCAAGATGAAATACTTGGGCTTGATTACAATCTGAAGATTCCCAAATAGAAAAACCCTATCTTTTTAATTTTGTAATTGGATAAGAGAGTAAAAATCAAACCTTTACAGTGAAATCGTGAACGGTCTTCTCTGCAGCAGCTCTAGCTTGGACATTGAAATACCGCGACTTGAAGAGATACCCAAGATTAATCGGAGATTTCAGAGAGAACCCATTACTCAGATTTGCGAAATTCGATATGACGGTGGAGAATTTCAAGGAAGACGCGAGGAAAGCCGCGGGTTTTACAGATGGGTTAGGTCTGGAACCGTTGAAGATAGCAGAGAATGGTGCGTAAGAAGAAGAAGAAGCCATTTTTGGTTCCTAGTGAAACTGAGACGAGTTTATCTTCTTGTACTTTCGACTAGACACTAGTGTCAACGCAAGTTAAACTTTGAGTGCTAAAGGTCGAGAGCATTTTATATCATGCCAAAAACATTACAAGAAAAAAAAAAACTTATTCCAAAATACTCCTATAATCGATTTCAGACGGCACAAAAAAAAATCCTATATTTCGTGTAAGCCCCTTCGATTCCAGAGCTTATTAGATTAATAAAATATAGAGTTCGATTTCCGAAAGATATTAGATTAATAATGTATTTATACGATTTTTTAGTGTGGTATAAAATTGTTCAACGTAAATTTGGTGCAAGTGAATAGTGAATACATTTATCGTTGTTCGGTCATGATTTATAAAATTGTAATAAATAATAATTTAACGGCAAAAATATAATCCCATTACCAGGCAAGAAAATGGCTCCAAAATGAAAATCAAATGGAATATATTAAAAAAATGGAATATGTATGTATATATATACGTCTTGCTTCCAAATAGACTATCATCCAGCCATCATTGCTAACTGCTAAATTAGATATTGAACATTTCAACAAAAAAATTAGTTTTTGAACATTTCTTAGCCATAAAATAATTTTAAAGAATAAATGTGGTCCTTATGAAAGGACATCGTTGATATCAACTCACATTTTCTTTTTCAAAGTTTGAGAATCAAGAATCGCCGAATCGGTAAATCCAAAATAATGAATCTAAGGTTGAGTGGAATTTATTGTATCCTCAATTCCTTTAGCAGATCCTTATCCCAACTATCTGGCTCTCGGTTACGAATTATGTTCATTGTGTTGTACTCAAATGAATACAAGTAACAGGTGGCAATGCTAATGCCTTATCCATTATTCTTTTTATTTTAAATTATTTTATATTACATTGTAGAGTTGTTGGATCACACATAAAATAAGATGTGACAGCCAAATTTTCTTGAACTCTCCAATTTTTAGTAGTAAATTATTAAAAGCGGTCTCTTACTTCTCCACAATGTCGACTGTGAACAGTCACCGTGTCGATGCATAACACACGACATAACTCGGAACAGGAAGATAGTAAAAATTGAATAATTAAACACTGATTCGACCTTATCTACCGGAATATGTCCAAATCAAACCCATTAACGAGTCGGTTCTCCAATTTTCAAAGTTTCCGAAGCCCTTAATAAAAACTTCGAATTTTTATTTTTCCATTTTATAATCTTTTTTCTTAACATAAATTAAACTCTTTTTATTTAATTTTGGTTAAATGACCTATTTCTAATTTAAAATGTCTGATCAACCAAAAAAAAAAAACAAATGAGTGAATAATCAATAGCTGACTATAATAAATGGCAACTATGTATTATCATCATCTTCTATAACAAACGCATAGGCACATGATAAATTTGAGCTGGCTCACTCTGACTATTGATAAAACTATTTCCCTTTCGTTTGCGGTTTAGCACCACTAGCTTTCGGAACATTTTATTTGGTATCGTGAAAATATATTAAAATTTTAAGAATACATCATAATGTAGGTAAATCTTAATTTTTATAAAGGGAATTATATTCGGTCTAATATTATTTTTTGTTTTAAATAATATTACAAAAACCGTTTATATGAAAGGTAAGAATATTGACATCGAGCAAAGCCACAATTAGTTAAAATATCTTCTCTATTTACGCTGTTTCCTGTGAGAATACACACACATTATGGAAGCTGTGATGATGGAGAAAGAAGCTTTAACAGCTGTAAAGATTACACAGCTCGAGTTTTTAAGTTAAGTCGTTATAAACTTTTAATGAAGTAACAATAAAATGGTGAAAAGTTAAGACCTTTCGTTTGTTTCTTTGAAGAGAGGAAAAAAATAATGTTTTTTTTTTCTTTTGCCTTTATGGATTGAACATCTGATCTCAAGTAATTTCAAGTGGTTGGTCCCTTTCCCTTTCTCGTCCCGATTCTTCTCCTAACTCCAGAATTTGGTCTCCAAGATCTGAAAAGTACCTTCCTTTTTACTCAGAGATGTAAGTGTAGCTAGCTTCTTCCATAGCTTTATTTCTGAATCTTTTTTTTTTCTTTTTACGATTGACATAGTCAAAATATCCGCATCTAGGTCTTTCTTTTTTGGTCGGAATCCATGTCTTTGTCATGAGAAGTTCTGGTTTGGTCGGAATCAATTTCAAAACCACACCTTTTGTCTTGGACTCTGTCTGAGTAGCTCTTAGTTGATTAGGATCTATTGTGAATCTTTATGAGGTAGAAAAAAATGGATTGTGTAGGATTCTGATTGGTTAAAAAGAGCTTCTTTCTGGATTTGGTTACCCTGTAATCTGTATTTTGAATTTACCTTGGTCTCTGTCCTGAGAAGTTCTTAGTTGATTATGGTCTACTGTGAATCTTTTATGGAATAGGAAAAAATGGATTTTGTACGATTCTGATTGGTTAAAGTGAGATTCTTTCTGGATTTGGTATTTTGAATATTTGATTATAGAGAATGGATTGTGTTAATATTCTGAGTGGTTTCTTTGCAGAAAGAGATGGGTACATACTTAAGCTCTCCAAAAACTGATAAGTTATCAGAAGAAGGCGAGAATGATAAGCTGAGATATGGTTTATCGTCTATGCAAGGTTGGCGTGCCACCATGGAAGATGCGGTGAGTCAAAAACAAATTTATCATCTAGAGCAAGTTTCATATGTTTGCTCCAAGTGTGATCCTTTGAAACTGATTCAAAGTTGAAATCTTGGTTATAATTTTTGGCTAGCATGCTGCAATTCTTGATCTGGATGATAAGACATCTTTCTTCGGTGTTTACGATGGCCATGGAGGTAAGGAACTACTCTGCCTTTACTTGTAAATCATAGTCTAGTTCAGGCGAATTTTTTATATAGAGTCCTTTTTAAGTTGTGTTACAAAATCAGCTGGAATTCGAAAGCCGATAATGCTAAATCGAATGAAAGATAAGAGAAAGGAAGTTCTTCTTGAAGTTCTTGACCGTTGCAAACACTTAGAACTGCTGCTTACATCTGTGTATATACTTCTCTTTACATCTCTTTTTGGATATGGAAGTCAAAGTAAGTATTTACTAAATGGTGTAGGTAAAGTTGTAGCAAAGTTCTGTGCCAAGTATCTACACCAGCAGGTTCTCAGTAATGAAGCATATGGAGCTGGAGACATAGAAACATCTCTTCAAAGAGCATTTTTTAGGTTTCGTTTTCTCTTTCTCCTTTCTTGTGTGTTTGGTTTACTTTTACAGCAAAAGAGGGTTCCAATTAAAACTGTTCATTGTGAATCTTGTAGAATGGATGACATGATGCAAGGACAGAGAGGATGGCGAGAGTTAGCTGTACTCGGTGACAAGATGAATAAATTTAGCGGCATGATAGAAGGATTTATATGGTCACCAAGAAGCGGTGACGTCAATAACCGGCCTGATAATTGGCCTCTTGAGGATGTAAAACTTTTCATATAACCATGCTTTCATGTTTGCTACTTCTGCAGAAGATTGAATTGGAACCTTTTAAGGTTTAAAACTTGTGCCTTTGTTTCTTATACAGGGTCCTCATTCTGATTTCCCGGGACCTACTTCCGGGTGCACAGCATGTGTAGCTCTTATTAAAGATAAGAAACTCTTTGTTGCAAATGCCGGTGACTCACGTTGTGTGATATCAAGGAAGGGTGAGGCTTACGATCTTTCTAAAGATCACAAGCCTGATCTTGAAGCTGAAAAAGAAAGGATACTGAAAGCTGGTGGTTTTATTCACGCTGGGAGAATCAATGGAAGCTTGAATCTGACAAGAGCCATTGGTAAGCTTTTTTTTTTGTCTTTCTTCCACTTTTGTTCCTTAAAGCTTCAGATTTTTTATATGTAATCTTGAAGCATTGTTTCTGCTTCTTTACAGGTGACATGGAATTCAAACAGAATAAGTTCTTACCATCTGAAAAGCAAATGGTTACTGCCGATCCAGATATTAACACTGTAAGAATCTAACTAACTTTTAGTATTTTTTGCGCATATGATTTTGTTTCCTAAGCTGATTTGTTATTGTTTTCTCTCAATCAGGTTGAACTATGTGATGATGATGACTTTCTTGTTGTTGCATGTGATGGAATCTGGTAAAGAAACTCCCTAATTGTTTCATTTCCGACATGAGTTAGTTTCTTGATGAGAAATCTGATTGATCTCATCTTCCTTAGGGATTGTATGTCAAGCCAACAACTGGTGGATTTTATCCATGAACAGCTAAAATCTGTAAGTTAATCCTTTTTCTTCTCCTCTTCTCTTTGCAGCTTTTGGTCTTGAACGAATCTGTGACATTGGTAATAACTTTCAGGAAACAAAACTTTCGACCGTATGTGAAAAAGTTGTTGATAGATGTTTGGCTCCAGACACTGCGACTGGCGAAGGTTGTGATAATATGACCATCATCTTGGTTCAGTTCAAGAAGCCTAACCCATCCGAGACCGAACCAGAAGAAGAAACCAAACCAGAACCAAGCCAGGATGGGCCGAGCTCATCAAGCTAGATGTTCTTAAAGAGCCAAGAGGAAGATTTGAAAGTATCTTATATCATTGACTTTGGTTCAATATTGTAAATGCTTTTGAGTGGCTTAGAGAAGCAGAAGCTGGCGTTTTATTGGAATATCCAAGCTTCTCTTTACTCACACAGACTAAACTCTGTTTCATCGGTTCTGGTAATCAAAAACGACTTTGTATAGTTGTCTTGTGATTTATGGGAAAATGTTGTTAGGATTATTTTTAAATTCTGATGAAAACAACAAAAGAGAAGAGATTTTACAGAATGTTGTTATGTTCTTCATCAAAGAGTTGTATTACTGCTTCTAAATCCTCTATTTAACACCATTTTTCTTGGAATCAAGAGAAAATATGCCATATTTTACACAAATTTACAAAAAGGTTATATTTTTTAATCTAAATTAACTAAATAAAAAATCTGAAATCTTAAACCCATCTCCAAAAACCCATACTGGCCTCTATTAAACCTGAAATAGAGGATTCTCTTAATCTTGAAAAGAAATACTGACCTTTGTTATACTTGTATTGCTAACTATCTTAATCTTCCATTCTACAATCTCTTACATTTAGATCTGTAGCTTCGAATTTTACTTTTAGATTTTATTTTTACCAATAGATTTCGAGAAAAAAACCTTTTCCTGACAATCTTAATAAATAATAAATTAATTTAATTAATTATAAATTAGAAGCTGAGGACAACAAATATCTCCAAGTAAACAACATGTAATCATAAAAAGCGAAACTTATAAATAAATTAAAAAAAAAGCTTTTTGAAACAAAAAGCTTATTCCAAAAAAAAGCAAACCCACATGGTTCCAAATCAGAACCAAGTCCCTAGACCAAGAACAAGACCTAACACAGCAAATTCACCACCAAGCCTAGCTGAGCCACTAGTAAGAGACGGAGGCACGGCTGGACCATCTTCGAACTCAACTGGAGAAGGAGCCGGAGAAAAAGCAGCGTGACGAGGACTAATCACGACGAGGCTCAGCTTCTGACCTTTCTCACAGTGACCATCGGCTCCACTGATGAAGTAAAATGGACCTGACCTGTCCAATTTCACCTTGGTCTCTCCATCGGTGTAGTTAGCCAAAGAGTTCGTGGTGTTGCAGCTCTTGTACGCTACTTGTGTTACTTGCAAAACCGAGTCTTTTCCAGCTTCGTACCGGAAAACTGAAAAAAGACAGATGATCATGTCAGAAAACAGAGCATCTGGTAAAAACCAGAGCATCTAGTAAAAACAGAGTATTAAATTGGTGGGTACCAATAAAGTCGCCGACTTTGAAGCGAGCTTTTGAAGCCCATTCAGTGAAAGAGTAAGAAGAGGAAGAAGGGATCTTCCAGTCACCGGATTTTCCACCGACGGTGACTTCATTTGCAGCGGCGAGAGAGGATAAAAAGATGAAGGAGAAGATGATAGCCATTGCAAGCGAAGAAGAAGCCATAGATTCTGAACGAAAGAAAAGAGTATTTTAATCAAGGTAAGGATGAAAAGAGAAATAGAGAATCTAGTCGTTGAGATTTAGTGTAGAGTGTGGAGGAGGCTCTTGTGATGTTTTTATAGTGGTGAAAATTCGAAAACTAGCCGTTAGATTTCTTATTTATTCTTGTGTTATGAAACTGTTAGATTTCTTATTTATTTTTGTTTTCTGAAAGAAATTAATTTTAGTAGAGGAATAAATGTTACTGTAGCCGTTGGAGGGCTGCGGTGATGTAACGGTTAGAGAAAATTTGAAAAATCGGAATACATTTATTGACATATATGTAGGCCTGAATTTTTCGGGAATTGGAACGGGAATTGACGGGTAAAGAATGATAATAAGAATTTCGGGAATCTGAATATAATACTCAAAGTATTCCAACATAATAACGGGAGGGGAATTTACGGGTATGAGACGGGAACGAGAAATTTGGGAATCAAAACATACTACCCATACAATCCCAAAATAAAATATAATCGGGAAAGGGACGGGAAAAGAACGGGAAAGGGACGGAAAAAATTTCGGATAATTAAGATAATTAGCATAAAATCAATTTTTGTTTTTTAAAAAATTATTATTTGTTAATAAATTAGAAAAATCATTATTTAAAAAAAAAAATTCAATTAACTAAAATCTCTAAAATTTCACTTTATATAATTACCCAACGGGAAGTTCGGGTAATCCCATTCCCGTCCCTACCCTTTCCCTTACCCATTCAAATATTATTTTCAAACCCGAATGGGAAATTATAATTTCCCTTTCCCGAAAAGTTCGGGAATTTTGGGACGGGTACGGGACGGGATGGGTTACCCTTCCCGAAAAATTCAGGCCTACATATATGTGTCAGCCAAGCGGTTTAATGGCTGAAAAGCCATAAATGAAAAAAAAAAAATTATCCTGTCATATTTGAATCTGTGTGCTATAAGGCATGTGATTCCGAATATATCCTTAACGAGAAGGAGTTATAGCATTGTTGATTATCTTATATTTTTTTTTTTTTTGAAAATCGATTAAATTGAAAAATGGAAAACCTAAAATTCTAAAACCAAAACCGATTAATTTCTGGTTTCTCTCAATTTCTGGGTAGCTCCTGAACCGAAAACTAAAATCGAATTCTCCCCAGAAATCGACCAATTGATCTGTTCAAATCGAGATTCCATCTGCGTTTATTTTTGCTCGGCGCGGTGCACCGGCCTTCTCTGAACCCGTGTTGTTCGCCAAATCTCGTTTCTCTGCCGTCATTTCGCAGTTAGGTAAACTTCTTCTACAATTTAGGGATTAAGGTTTAGTAATCGATTTGTCAATTCCGGTCGTTTTAGATTGCACATTGGATAGTAGAGTGGCGTATATATGTCGATTTAGTCTTCTGAGTGTTAAAATTTAATTTGTTGCCGTTGAATCGAGTTGAATCGTAGGTTTGTATAGTGAATCAGTGAGATATGAGACAACTAGTACAATTGGGTTAACTGAATGGAATGACACAACTGGTACAATTGGGGTAACTGAATGTAGTGGAACAACCGGTACAATTGGGGTAACTGAATGGAATGGGACAACTGATACAATTGAGTTAACTGAATGGAATGGGACAACATGTACAATTGGGATAACTGAGTTGAATTGGGTTAACTGAATGGAATGGGACAACTAGGACAATTGAGACCCTGAATGTATTGGGACAACTGGTACAATTGGGATAACTGATTGAAATATGTGGGACAATTGGTACAATTGGTACAACTGTGAAAAAATAGAAAATTCTGTTATTCGTTAATGACTTATTTTTTTGTATTTGTGAACAGAAGAGGATGAGCGGCCACACAAACATACATTTTGAGTATGGAGGATGTTATTATAAGGAAGGAGAGGAGTTTAAATGGATATCTAGAAGCTCCATCTATGCTATATCATTTAAAACCTCTTTGGATGAGGTAACCTATTCGATGGTTGTAGATGGTATATGCAAGAAGGTTGGGGTAAACGATAGTAAGAAGAAGCTCAAGTTAAGCTACATTCCGTTGGTAGCTAAGCCACACAATGAGTCATGTATTGTTGATGATGGTGATGTGTATGTCTATCTAATAACTGTGGATAAAAAGGGACTTAGATCTGTGTTGCATGTGGAGATAATGGAAGATTTGGAAAGAGATAAGATTCAGGAGCTAGAAACAGGGGATATTATGCTTGAAATCGAGGAAGCAGGGAAAGAACAGGATGAACTTGCTATTGTGGCTGTGCCTGAGACTGAGAAACAGATAGTGATTGATGATGTTGTTTCACAACCGGATGATCATGAACATGTAGAGCCTGTAGAGTATGGTATGGATGAGCATGATCACGTAGAGCCTGCTGGGGCTTTAGAACCGACTCAGTTTGTTCTTGAATGGGATGATAGTGCTGCTTTTGAGAAAAATCAAGAATTTCGATCGAAAGAGGCGTTGCGAGTATTGGTTGACAGAGCTTCGCATAAGGGATGTTTTGAGGTCAAAACAGTGAAGTCTGATCCTGGGCGACTCATTCTTAAATGCTGTCAAGCTGAACATGGTTGTTCATGGTATGTACATGCTGTAAGAATGAAGGATTCAACTGACTTCAGCCTTAGAGTATACAGGAAAATGCATAGTTGCTCTCGGGTCCTTACCAGCACAATTGAGAATAAAAGAAAAGGCACTCCACAAGTTGTAGCAGATGTTTTGCGTGCTTCGTATCCAGGTGTAGTGGACACACCAGCTCCTAGAAGTATAGTGAAGGTTGTTCAAAATGAAGCTCATGTGAATGTGTCCTACTCTACAGCCTTGAGAGGAAAAAAAACTCGCGATTAGTCAAGTGAGGGGTAGTCCGGAAGAAAGCTTTCAAATATTGCATTCTTATCTGTATGTGTTGAAGCTGGTGAATCCTGGTACAGTGGCGAACGTGAAAGTGGATGGTAATAATAAGTTCAAGTATCTTTTTGTTGCTTTGGATGCCAGCATTGAAGGCTTTAGTTCAATGAGGAAAGTCATAGTCGTGGATGCGACTTTTCTTAAGAATGTTTATGGTAGTATGCTAGTATTTGCCACCGCTCAGGATCCTAATCATCACCATTACCCCATTGCAATGGGTGTAATCGATAGTGAGAAAGACTCTAGTTGGAAGTGGTTTTTAGAAATGCTCAAAACTGTTAGTGGTTTTTAGAAATGCTCAAAACTGTTAGTGGTTTTTAGAAATGCTCAAAACTGTTATATACCAGATAATCCTGAGATTGTTTTTATGAGTGACAGATACATAAGCATAGCAAAGGCAGTGCAGGAGGTGTACCCTCAGTCTCAGCATGAATTTTGTGTGTGGCACTTGTCTCGTGATGTGAGGGTTAAAGCAGCCAATGGTTGGAAGGATTTGTGTTCTAAAAAATTCTTTGAGTGCGCTCTTAAGTACACCGAAAGTGAGATCCTAAGTGCATACACCGAATTTGGTAGAATGTTTTCCAAAGCAGCGGAGTACTTAGAGAATGGTCTTCCTATTGATAAATGGGCACGGTAGAATTTTAAAGGAGAGAAGTACAACTTGGTCACAAGCAACGCCTGTGAATCGATGAACAATGTCTTCAAGAAGGCGAGAAAGTATGCACTATTGCCTTTGATTGATGCGTATGTTGAGAAAGTGTCTGAATGGTTCAACAGGTATAGGAATAACATAGCTGGTGCATCATATTCGAAGAAACTGGTGCCGTATGTGGAAAACGAATTGCATAAACAATGTGCAATTGCGACAAAATTAGATGTGACTGAGCTAAATCTACCTGGGCTTGAATACAGTGTTGTTGGAGTTGATGGGAAGAGCTATCTGGTTAATTTGGATACAAAAATTTGTGGGTGTCGCATGTTTGATATTGATAAGATTTCATGTGTTCATGCAATAGCCACAACCATTGCAATGATGCAGACGTCCTCAAGAAGAAGAGACTTACACATTTTCGATTTATGCTCGAGATACTACTTGATTGATACTTGGATGATGGCTTACCACAGAACCATCTATATGGTGCCACATCATTCTACTTGGATTATTCCTGAGGAGGTTGCTAATTTAGTTATTTACCCACCAGACTACACCAAAAAAGCAGGAAGAAAGAAGGAGAAGTGGTTTCCTTCCAACAGAGAAGCTCGCAGGAGTCAGAAGGCCAACCCAAACATAAACATTGGCCGCTGGTTTCAACCACTAAACCCAAGGGAAAAAGAGGGTGAAGAGGGTCAGAGCTAGGCCGCAGGAATATTTTGGAGTTCATTTGTATTTTCATTATCTTGGATTTCTTGCAATACTATGTATTTTAGAGTAATTTGTATTTTAAATTTTTTGGATTTGGAGAATGTCAACAGGGCAACTAGGTGCAACTAGATGCAACTACGTCCAAACCCAGGCAAACTAGGTACAACTAGGACAACTAGGACAACTAGGGGCAATTAGGGCAACTAGGTGCAAGTAGGTGCAACTAGATGCAACTACGTCCAAACCCAGGCAAACTAGGTACAACTAGGACAACTATGACAACTAGGGGCAACTAGGACAACTAGGTGCAACTAGGACAAGAGAAGGCAAACTAGGTTCAAAGAGGACAATTGGTACAAAGGGGACAACTAGGATAACTAGGAAAAGTAGGTGCAACTAGGACAAGAGAAGGCAAACTAGGTTCAAAGAGGACAATTGGTACAAAGGGGACAACTAGGATAACTAGGACAACTAGGACAACTAGGACAACTAGGACAACTATGACAACCAGGACAAACTAATTTCTTAAAATTATTAAACACTAAACAAATACAGCCCATAACCTTAACTACTGTATCCTCAACGACTACGCTTGGAAAATAAAATAAACTCATTGTTTTCTGAAAATAAAATATACCATTTGTGTTTCTAATGAAATAACCCTTATGGTATAAGGAATTCTTTGACAATGTTTTCCATCTTATAAGAGGCTAAACGTAAAAATATAGAAAATATAAAAAGATGGGCGTGAAACCCTTGGGGCAGGTATAAAATGTTCAAGGGTTAGAGGGACAACTAAAAAAAG